GCCCTGATCTCTCCTTTCATCCTCCAGTGGTGTTCTCCCTGCGTACAAGTCTCTGTCCGAATTTCCCTTTTTTATAAGGACACTGGGCATATTGAGGACAAGGGTCCATCCTACTCCAGTCTGTCCTCATCTTTACTAATTACACCTGTGATGACCCTATTTCCAATTGAGGTCACATTCTGAGATGCTGGAGATCAGAACTTCAGCATAGAAATATGTAGGAGACACCATTCACCCCATTCCAGAAGGAAAGGCATCATCGTTAATTTGATCTTTGACACAGGGCTGAGTCCTTCTGCTTAACTAAGAATTATCAATGGGCCTTTGTTCCTCAAAGCCCCTTCCATTTCATCTCTGTTCCAGCCCTTCAATGTCCCAAATTTCCAAACTCTCTACAAATATTGTTCCTCAAAAGAAAACCCATCCCTGTTAAAAGGAAAGAAAGGGAAATTAGCAAATGTTGAATGCCTGCTATGTGCCAGCCATGGTCACGTATCTTGTATCTCTTTTAGCTACAAAATTTTGGGATTCTGTGAAATTAGGGTGGATGTTGCATGCCTGGGAGGAGAGGACTTTCTCAGGCCTGCTCCCGCACTGTGTGCACACTCCCTAACCTTTTCAAGCCTTTGTTCCCATGTCAGCTTCTAGGTGAGCCTTGCCTGAACACCCTATTTAAAATTAGACCGCTCAGCATCTCTCATCTCCCTTCTCCTTGCCCCCATAGCATTTATCCTACCGCCTTCTAACAGAGTGTGTGATTTTCCAATTTTCATGTTTATTGTCTGTCTCTCTGCGCTACCAGGCTCCACAAAGACGGCAGAGATTCTGCCTGCTCTGTTCGCGGAAGTGCTTGGCGCGAGAGCAGTGCTGCGCATGTAGTATGCACTCAGTGAGCCCCTGACCAGCGAACGGAGGGGAGGTGTCTGGATCCTCCCTGCAAGCCTGGGGCCGCAAACAAGTGCCAGGGGCCCGCATCAGAACCGCAGGGGCGCAGGTGGCTTAGAGCCCCGCAGAGCAGGTGGGAATCCCAGCTCAGCCTGCAGCAACTGGATGGCCTCAGGAAAGGCACTTCGTGTTTCTGTGCTTTAGTTTGGATGGAAAATGGGACAATAACAGTCCTTCCCTCCAGCAGTGTTCTGAGGATTAAGTAATAGAATGTATAGAGAAATGCTTAGCAGGGGCTGGAAGTGCTTAATAAATGTCACTTCTTCTTGTTAGGGTTGTTGTTAATAACATGAAATCTCACAAAAGGAAATCCCTCTGCCTTTTCTCATGCCCTTTCTCTGTGGATATATTTTGAATCTGACCCCTTATCTCAGTGGCCATGAAATGGTACCTCCATCGGGAGGAAAGCTGAGAATGGCTTTTTCTGTAAAATACTCAGCTTCATTCTACTTTTCTCCTACCGGGTTCCTGGGCAGCCAGGCGCTGTCTGTGCAGGTGTGAGGACAGGGAACTAGCTGCGGTCTGCTCCCCCCGCCCAGCTGGCGTTGGTGCTTGAGGTTCTTGTGCGCCTTGCAGCTTCTTTATTCAGGAAGGAATGGGATCCCATGCTCGGTAGAATAATTGAAGAGAGCTCCAAAATTTGAGCATCATAGGGTTGGAATAAAGATAAAACTGAGAGGGGCTTGGAGGAACAAAGGCCCGTGGACAATTTTAGTGAAACAGAGGGACCCCGAGGTTGTGTGAAGTCCCTCAGTTCTAACTTTTCCAATATTACTGTCTGCAGTTTAGACAGAATATCTTCGCAGTGACTGTCCCAGTGTTACTGTCTCTAGATTGTGGGAACTTTTGTGCTTGCCTTACTCACTGTCTTCTGATGCCGTCTGGACTGGACTGCCCTTGGGCCCCAGGAAAGTCTTTCTATGAACATCTCTGCCCGACGGGGCCAGCTTTGGTTCTCCACCTTCCATGTGCACTTTCCCTCCACCAGGAGCCTGGCGCCTGGCAGGCTGCTCCTCCGGGTCCAGCGGGTCTAGGGTGCCCAGGGGCAGAGCGGGAGTGTGAGGGACTGGGAATAGCCAGGCCCATTCGCTGTCCCCATCCCTTCTCCTGCAGGACCTCGTTCAGGGCCAGCAAGGACGGGACTAGACAATTATATTCTGGGTGTGCATTTTATTAATGAAGGGAGAAGACAGCAGCGGGGACTGTAGCGATATCATGGTGTGTCTGATCTAATTATGCTAATCAATTTTTATGGCTCATCAGGGAATCCTAGTTGGCCTTGTGTCAGGAATTCCCCGGAGGATCTGGAGAGGCTGTTCCAGGACTTGGGAGGCTGTTGGGGGAATATCTCAAAACCTCACAGGGTTGGGAAGCTTCTCCTGCTGTTCCAGGGAGAAGTGGGGGCCGCCAGAGCTTACAATTACAGAAGGAGCAGCAGAGGCCCCTGGGTGGGTGGGCTGCAGGGTGGGCCCCGCCCTGCTCTGGTGGCAGGAACTGCAACTGCACCAGAGCACTGGAAAACGTGGGGGCTCAGCCCACGTCAGCCATCCGCCCTGCCACCTCCTGCTCCTTGCTGCTCCCTTCCCACTGGTAGACTTTAAAGCACTTTTTAACCCCATGGGTGTCATTTCCCATGCTTTAGCCAGGGTATGATCCTGTTCCTTGCCGTGTCCTCAGTTCGTACCTCTCTCTCCTTCCTCCTAGCTCTCCTTCTTCGTCTCTTCCCCCAACTGTGTGTATATTTTTATGGCTGGGTTAGGCTCCACTTATAGACAGGTAGAATATTGGTAATTGAAGGCATCCTGAGAAAACACAGAGACTCAAATAATCCTACTCTCACCTAATCGGCTGCTTAAAGTTCCATATTTCTCTCTCTCTCTCTCTCTTTTCTTTGGTCTTACACCATAGATTCCTGTTACAGGGGCCCATCTTCCCTGGGCATGTGAATGAGTGTGTGCAGTGTTTTAAGGCATCAATCGATGTAGCCACTGGGGGAATCACATCCAGCTCCTTTCTTGAGGGGAGTTGTTGAAGGTGGTAGGGAGCATGGTGGCCACATTGTCATGTGGGGCCTCTGGGCAGAACCCTGGCAGTCCCCAGCCAGCCTGGCTCTGCTCTGCCAGCGGCCGAACTCAGCGGGCACGCTCCTGTCTGCACAGCGAGTGCGCAGAGAGGCTCCACCACGGCAGGTGCTGACTGGCTGGCCGGGGCCCTCCTTCGGGCGGTGGCGTCCGGGGGCAGGGGAGTAAAGGGGGCCAGAGCGCGGGTGTGGGTAAGCGGGCCAGAGTTCTCGCAGAGGCCGTCCTTAGGGTTTCCAGATCCTAGTTAGAACACAGGTATTCCTACCGGAGCCCTGGGCACCACTTGTGTGGAAGTGTCAGGCTCAGACTTCAGAGCTGAGGGCGTCACTGGCTGTATCATGGCAGCGAGTTTCCTGTTGCTGCTGTGACAAATGATCACGGACTTCGGGCTTAAACGCAAACTTACTGTCTTGCAGTTCCAGAGGCTGGAAGTCCAACGGGGCTAACGTTAAGGTGTCATCAGGGCTGTGTTCCTCCCTGGATTTCCTTGCTGGGTCCGCTCACCTTCCCCAGCTCTAGGTTTCCTCGGCTCACGATCCTTCCTGTGTCTTCAGAGCCAGCAATGTTGCATCTCTCTGACAGCATCTTCCCTTCTGGCCTCAGCCAGGAAAGGTTTCTCTGCATTTAAGGATTCACGTCATTAGATTGGGCCCAAAGTCCCTTTTGCCATGTGAGGTGAGGTATTCGCGGGGCCTGGGGTAAGCACACGGATGCCTTTGGGGTACATTATTCTGCCTACCACCCTGGCAGTAGCCAGACAAGCCTGAGCAGAATAAGCTCCTGGGAAGGCCTGGTCCCCACAGCGTGGGGACTCTGTGACAACACTGCTGTGCCTGAACTCTCCCCCTTGCCTGGGACAGGGTAGAGCTGATGGCTAGATGCTCATCAAACTTGTTCCTTGTCCCTGGGGTCACAGCTGACGGCCTCAGCCTTCCTTAGAGTTATGTGGGTCTAGGCGGGGTGTGCTACCCCCAGGCACTGGCCACACCATCCTCCTCCATGCCGCAGGACTCACAGGGCCCCGGGGAGGCTGCTGAGCGCTGGCGGTGGAGAATCAACAGGACAGAGGGAGCCTGCACCTGAGTGGTGACCTTCCAGCGTGTGCTGGACTGTGACAGGAGCAATAAACAAGACCCCATAGTGTTTGGCCACTGAACGATGGGATTTTTTTTTTGTTACAGAAGTGAGTCTACTCTGAATAATCTAGGAATTGGTCCCAGAAGTGGGTGTATCCATAATAAAAAGTCTAAAACATGGGACATGGGCTTAACAGTCAGGTGGTGGGTGGTGAGGAAACACTTGCAGGAGGCTGGAAGGCTGGCCAGGCCTGTATTGCTGCGGCGATGCATTTGGTAGAACTTCACAGGGATGATCTGGAAGGGAGACCATGTGCCTGGGATTTTAGCTCTGGGAGGAGAGTTTGGAAAATAGAATATTAGCAGTGTGCACATGTTTATGTATGGGGGGCTTCTATTGTCTGCCTCGGGCAAGGTATTACAAGAAGGAAGTTAGGAAAGAATGAGATGATTTGCAAGAAAAATAAAAAGCAACAGAGGGAATACAGAAATGTGGGGGCATCAAACATGTTCCAACTGTTATCACTGTGTGACAGATTAGCCTAAAATGTAGTGTCATAAGCCATTATTATGCTCCTAGATTCTGTGCATCAAGAATTCAAACAGGACACGGCAGAGACACCTTGTTTGGGGAGGTGAGCTGGGAGACTTGAGGCTGGGGGCTGGAATCGTCTGCCACTCACTTGTGTGTCTGGTGGCTGATTCTGGTCACTGGCTGGGGTTTCTGTGCCTTTGGACATAGACTCTCCACTCGGTCTCCCCATGTGGGTGCGTTTGAGCTTCCTCAAAGCATGGTGACTGGGTTGCCGGGTAGAAGTTGTATCCCCTTTATGACCTGGCCTCAGCAGTCAGGCAGTGTCACCTCTACCTCATGCCAGTCATTACTGCCAGGTGACTAAGTTCAGTACATAGGCATACGGAGGGGAGTCCCACGTCAGCGGGCCGAGTGTCAAGGCTCTGGGAGAATGCATGAGACTGGCAACATCGCCATGGCCATTTTTTGAAAAATACAATCTGCTCCAGAGGGGTTGGAAAAGCTGGCTGCTTCCTAACAGTAAGGGATATGATTGAGAAAGTTTGTAGGAGACAGGGACTCATTAAAATGTTTCAATTGAACAAAGTGACTTGGTCTTGTAAGCAACAAGTTAGACTGGGGTGTGGCTGTCGCATTCAAGCCTACTGTCCCGTGTAGCCCCAAGACAGCTGTGGAGAATGAGAGAGGCAGGAGGGTGAGGGAGGAAACAGAAATCAAGCATATTTTAGAGTTGTATCTAAGAGGACCTCGAATGGGTTTGTTTTGCAAATAGAGTTGCCTGGAAGCAAGTGGATCAGACAGAAGCTATTAAGTGTTTGTGTTCAGAAGGTGTGGCAGAGGACTCCAAGGCCCTATGGGAGAGGCCGCAGATGAAGGGGCCAACGTCTCCTGGGCCCCCATCCACCACATCCCCACTGGTCCGCTGGAGCCTGGGATGTGAGCAAGAAATAAGCCTGTGGGGTTTTGGTAAATAGCAGTTAGTCTACCCTGACTAATACAAGCTGTTTTCCTGGCATATCTGTTGAAGAAACAGTAAATAACGTTTGTAAGGCAGTCCATTTCTCTAATGGACTGGCACACCAATTCCCCGCATCTCCCACTCCCGCCGGCCACAGCCGATTACTTCGAGGGTGCAAGATGACATCAACCGAGTCAGCTGCATTACCTACCTCAGGCATTGGAATTGGGAGGTTAGCAGGCTGGTGTGATGCATTCAGGATGAAGCTGGTGGGCTGGGTGGCTGCTGTCCCCTGCTGCTGCACAGAGAGAGAGCGCCGTGCACTGGGCAGGGAGCCAGCTGCCTCCTCGGGGGATGCTGGTCGCTGCGTCCCAGCTGGCATTTCTTGGGTTCTGTAAGAGATTCCTGATTCATATGATAAATTCCATTTGACTGAATCTAGTGTTAGTGCGTTCTATTCATCATAAAAAGCTGTGAATTGAGACAGAAGCAACATGGAAGAGTGTTCATGGTATTTTGGGTGGGGAGAATAGGTTACAGAATAGATTGCACATTATGATCTTGAACTTGTGACAATAGTTATTATATATATGGAATATAGAATAGACACCAACATAGAAACCATGGCGAGTATAGGTAACTAGTATTTAACTTTTTTTTTTTGCTGAAAATATATATTGCTTTAATAATCAGAAAAAAAATCAGGCTTTGAATACACAATATACCTAAAAAGGAAATTGAGGAACACGAAACACATTTAAAAATAGCTGAGGATACAAATGGTGATGTCTGGTTGGCAGATTTTCTCTTGGGTGTCTCCCTTGTAGAGGGAGTCTCAGGTGATTATGAAGATTCTTGGCTCTTCCCATTCTGCGCTGGGCTTCCTGCAACTGCCCCTCTGTCCCTGCATTCGTTCAGCTCCAGCTCAGCTGGGCTGTGCCCTGTAGCTCTTTGAGAGGTAAAGACCTTTGCCTCCTTAGGCCTGGACCTTGCTTTGTCTGTGACAACCTGACCTCTTAGCTACTCACTGTGATCACCACAGAGCATTTTGGAATCCAGAAGGCTCCCTTCCCCTGCTCTCATCTTCTCCCAACTCTCCTTTCCCACTTTCACTCTCTTTTGTATTGCCAGCTCTGGGCACCGGAAGTTCGCACTCTGTCCTGATTGGCTCTTCTGAAGGACAGCTGGGGCCTTTTGAAGTCTTTAGATTTCATTCCAGCCTTGTCCTGTCTGGTCTGGCCATGTCTTCTTCCCTGGAGCCAGTTGGCTTGGCTTTGCCTGATTTCCCGAAGCAGAGATGATTGGCCTAATTCAGCCCAATGGATGTCCCTTCTCCTTCGTATTTGCCTCTTAGAGGCATGGTATTCCAGAGCTCTCGAAAGCCCATTGCAAAAGCACAGTGCAGGCTCACAGCAAGGGGAAGACCCAGGCCACGGGCAACACACCCTCTCCTGGCCAGCTCCCCAGAGCTCCAGCCAGACTTCTCTCTTGAAAGGACATGGGTAGACTCCCTGCTTCAAAGGATTTAGGATGTCTGCCAAAATGGATTTGTCCCAGCTCCGTGTTAAAATGCTACTCGTTGAAACTCATATGCTGAAAATGCTGATGAAATTTTCATTTTATTGTTTGTTTTAATTATCATCCTCTTCTTGCCTTGCAGCAATGTTCTCTCCCCCCTGCAGGAATGTTAGCGCAAACACAGCTGCATCGTGGGTTTGTGCAGAAGGGGCCCAGAAGGAGTGAAACAGACTGTAGGCAGGAAGTGAGTTTGACCCAGCCACTTGCATGGAGCCGGGCTTGGGACATGTCTCCATTATTAGAACGCACCGGGAGGAGGAGCAGAGGCCCTTGTGGGACAGGGTAGCTGAGCAGTGCTCTCAGGGCCTCCATGTCTATTTCCAGAGTCAGTTGTGTCATTAGTTTTCTTTTGGGAGACCGTGGATTTATCTAGGGAATCGGAAGTTGCAGTGAAGTAGGAATCCATAGCTCATAGTCACTGAAGCACAATTCAGAAATGACTTTGTTGCTTTAAATGATATCTCTGTTTACACATGAGGCGTCCTGTATAATTCATGAGGATTTTGTATCACTTACCAGTGAGGATCAGCAAACATGGCTTTCACGTTCTTGTAACTTTGTAGGTCCTGGTGATGCTCGCCGGAGCAGGGCCGGCTGCTGAGGGACTTTGTGAGGAGCACAGCAGCTCTCACGAATCACAAACATCCCTGATAATATTAATTATTGCCTTTACAATGTACCAAAGAGGTAGATATGATTCCCATCACGACCCCTATTCCTACTCCAGGGATGCGCGAAGAAGTTAAGTGTTTCGTTTAAGGTCACGAAATCGTGGAGCCTGGGGGAAAACTTACGACCATCCAGCTCCAGGGCTTAGGTTTTACTTCCCTCAACACGGGGGCGATGGAACCAAAAAGCACAACAGAGCACGATAGGTGCAGCATTTTGTTGTTGCTTGAAGGATGGAGGCAGCTTTCTAACCCCACACTGGGGGAGGTATTTTCCTCATTTCGGTTTTCTAACTCCCCTTGGATTTGCTCTTCTTAGATGGTTAGACTGTGACAGTGTGAGCAGAGAGACATCACATAAGGGTATCCAAAGCTTGCAAATATTTTGATACTCGTTTGATGTAACAGGATTTACTGGGGGCTTTGCTAGGGAAATCCTGGTTAGCATGTGCCGATGGCAGGCAGGGAGTTCACGATATGTGACAGCTGCAGAAAGCATCGTCTAACCGTCAGTATTGAGAAGGATTAGGGCAAACACCTTGGGTTTTGTCCCAGGTAGCTGCCCTGTGGAATTACAGTTCGGCAGTCACTATTGCATTCCTTTGGTCAGTGTCTTGTCCTTCTGGTTTTCCTTCCACTCGCAAGTGCCCCAGTTCCCTGTTGCTAGGAAGACACAGTTGTACACACACTGTTGTATTTCGGAGCATATAGGGCTGTTTGCTAAAGGCTTTCTTCAGCCTTTCTTTATGGATCCTTTGAAATTTCATTGTCTCATCAGAGGATTGAATTCAATGAATGCTTTACAATTAGGTTTTTATGGATAAGAGATGGGGAGAAATATCAGTATCACAGTATCCAGTTGCAAATATCATTTATTAATCTGAGAAGCTAGAGGGATTTAGGGCTTTTTGAGTCAAACACTGAGAAGCTGAACATTTTCAGTCTTTAAAAGCTCAGGAACTGGGCCCACAGGCCAGCAGGATCACTTCCTTGCCGTGTAAATTCATGTTTTAGCTGAAGGTCCTTCTCAGTGCAGGCAGAGGCCTCTGTCAAAAGCAGGCTTAGTATGGCAGCTGTCCCAGGCCTGGCTCTGTTTCCTTCCCTCCCCCGCTCCTCCTTTCTGCTGGTGACTTTCTCTGGAGCTGGGGCCTCTTGGGACTTGTCAGGTGCACCTCATTCACTGGGCTTCACTGTATGAGATGGGTCTCAGCTGGAGGCAGCAAGTGCAGGGGGAAGAAAGGGCTGATTGAATTTGGTTTGGGACCAGCTCCAAGTCCTGCAAGGCTTGCAAATGTTTAGGGGGTGATTTCCATATCACTCTAAAGTTGCTTGTCTTTCTCCCAAAGGCAAAGGCTGCTGCTGAGAGTGGAGGACTTAAAGCTGGAGGCTGCCCCAAAGCCGGGGAAATGAAGAAAACTCCATTTCTGGAGCTCACCGGTGTGCGCGCGCGTGCGCATTCATGTGCGTGGGGGGTGGTCTTTGGCTCCTTGTTAATTCCCTATAATAGAGATCACAGTGCCGAGGAGAAGCCCGGGGCTTCTCTAGGCATTCAGCCAGCACAGAGGCACAGCGTGGTGCCTGGAGAGGGGATTCTTGGAAGAAAATGGAATGTGGTAGTGTGGGAAACTTGAGTGCTGTGGGATGACAGACAGGCAGGGCGGCCATGAGTTTGGAGTGACCTTGGATGCAACTATGCAGATGAGGACGTTAAGCAGCAGGATCCAGGATGGGCACGTTTGTGGTGGGATCTGTTGGAATCCCCTGTAGGCAAGTCACTTGCGGGCTCTGTCCCACATAGTTTCCAGGCTGTGGATGGAGATCAGGATCCTCTTGGCACTTCCTGGCTAGTGATTCTGCAGAGGAAAGAGATACCAAGATTAATAATGTGCTGTCCCTGCCCGTGAGTAGCTCAGTGAAAGCTTGAGAGACAGGTGCAAAGCTCGGAAGAGACTGTGATGTCTGCAATGTCTGACTGAGTGACTTCTGAGGTCCTTTCCAATTCTGAGGCTCTGAGTTTCTACAAAGCCAAGCTAGTGAAGTCATTCATTCATTTCTTTGATTATTTAGCAGTTATGTGCTAAGTACCTTTAATAAGCGAGGCCCTGGGGACATACTGAGAAACAAGACAGGAATTCCCCTGCTGGTATGGAGCCTAGGTTTCTAACAGATTTTGAAGAGATGGTTGCAAGAGCATTTGGTATAAGGAAGGAGCAATATATCTGACGCCCAGACTCAGGCAGACCCTCCTCAGGGGTGCTCGGGGCTGGCTATTTGGAGCAAGTGACATTTAATTGACATCTGACAGATGGCTGGCTGAGGGAAATGGACAAGAAGGTCTTTCCCTGATGACATGTTCAGGGAGCAGAGAGGTGTCCAGGGTGGCTGGAGAGAGGGAGCTAGAGAGAAAGTGGAGGAAAGTTCAGGAAGGGAAGCAGAACTGAGTTATGTTTGGCTTTGCCCTGGGTTATCTTCAGGAAGGGAAGCAGAACTAAGTTATGTTTGGCTTTGCCCTGGGTTATCTTTGTCTTTGAAAAGGGGAAGTGATGAAAGGTTTTTAGAGGGGAACAGGTCAAAAGCCACTCTTCAGAGAGGTCTTTCCTGACTGCCTCGATTGAAGTTGGGTGTCCCTGGTTCAGCAGTCTCAAACAACACAGAGCTTTTCCTTCAGAGCACTTATCCAACTTACAATTAGCATCATTTCTCTGTTTATCTTTTAAAGACCGTCTCTCTCCCCCAGGGAGTGCAGGGGCCATGGCCGTGACCCTAACCGTCTCCGTCCACTGCCCTCCCCGTGGCCGACCAGCGTGGGGATGTGGGATGGAGGCTGAATGAGGACAGGGCTCAGACTCAGAGGTCTAAAGATCCTTTGCCTGAGTTGCGAGTGGCTCCTTCAGAAGACAGGTGAGAGAGGGGAGCGGGCTGGAGCAGGTGGGGGCGGCATGGCCCATGGGAAGAAGCCGGTGAAGACTGGAAGCTCTGGGGGTGGAGGCCACAGGCTGTTGCCGCAGGGCGTTTGTAGGGCATTCCGGGGGAGGGGAAGGATCATGCCCAGGGTTCTGGCTAGAGGATGAATAGAGGTGCCGTTTATTGAGATAAGAGTTCCGGAAGAGGAGCCTATGAGGGGTTGGGGTGGAGAGTGGGTGCAGTGTGGGGCCGGTGCCCCGCGGCCGGTGTTGGGGGTGGTGTGGACGCCCTGCCCCGCAGGTGAGCAGCGTCCTCACAGGCGCCAAGGCGCTCCCTGCCCCACCCCCTGTCACGGTGGCATTTCCTCCTGGCTCTCACATGCTCATGGGGGTTGCTGTCCGGCCAAGAATCTGAGGAATTATTGTTTTTCAACTTTTCAGATGGTCACTCAGGGAGTGTGGGAAAGACCGCAGGAGAGTCCTTCAGCCTCATGCTCCTCCTTTGCTTCTGAGCAGACCTCCATTCCAGTTCCTCCCCATGAAACTAGGGTGATGGCTGAATGTCGTCCTGCCACAAACCCCGGAATGGAGTCCCTATAGGTTATGGTACTCCTTTCCTCTCAGTCAAAGCTGATTGAATTAATGTAGACATCTGACAGAAGGCCGGCTAGCCCATGGGGTTGGCAGTGGTTGATCACATACTCTCACAAATTTGAGCTAAGAGACATGGAGATACGGTCAGTGCAGCTTCTGGAGCTGAAAAGTCTTGTGAACTTGTGTGGTTGAGGGTCCAGACAATATAATGAGTAGAGGACCCGTGGTGAGGGAGAGAAGAGACTGCTTTCCAATTCCTACGAGGTCTAGCTATACTACCTTTCAGTGGGCTTGGAGGGAACTTATTTTTTTCTCCTTGCATGTTAACTTCAGCCTACAGAGAATGGCAACATGTAAGAGCAAGCTGGGAACTAAGCTTCCACTGTTTGTTTTTACCTATTTATTATATTAAAAAAAATTTTTTTAAAGCAATGCCAAGTGTGAAATGAAGTTTATTGAGGAGGGGCAAGATGGGTTTACAGAGCAAGAGCAAGATGCATTCATCACAATGCTGAATGGGCCCCCCTGTCATAGCAAAGGGCCTATATTTTTTAATTTTAAAAGAATTATGAAATGTTTCAGATGTGCAGACAAATAAAGAGAATAACTGAGTGAACATCTGTGTACTAGATTTACCAAATCTCAACATTTCCCTTTAGCTGTATTCAGTACCTTATGCTTCTCCCCAATTTCGTTCTCTTCTTTTCTCCTTCAGAGGTACCCAGTGCTTTAAATTTGCTGCTTATGAAATATAATCTTATCATATTGAATATGCCCATTGACATTATACAGTATTGTTTTTGCTTGACATTAAACTTTATATATATAATTGGTTTTCTTCTGTAGAAAATTCCATAATATTTTTTTCACTAAACATTATGTATTTTAGATTTGTCCATGTTATTAACTGTAGGTCTAACTTTTTCATTTTCATTGATGTAGAGTATTCTGTTACATGAATATATTACAATTTATCCATTCTTTTATTGATGGTCTTTCAGATTGTTTTCCCATTTTTTTTTTTAATTACAGAAAGTGTTCCAGTAAATATTCTCATGCATACCTCCTAATGCACACTCATGGGTTTCTCTGGGGAATGTACTAAGAACTGGAGTTGCTAGATCTTAAGGCTACGCACATTTTCAACATAACTAGATTTAGCCAAATTGTTTTCCCAAGTGGTTGTTCTAATTTTGCCTTGCTTCAAGTTCCAATTGCTCCATATTCTCACCAACATCTGGTATCATCAGGCTGTTTAATCTTTGCCAATAGATGAATGTGAAATGGTATGTCACTATTGTAAAGAACATTTCTATGATTACTAGTGGAGTTGGCCATATTTTTATATGTATACTGGCCATTTTATCTTTTTTCTTTGTGAATTGCCTATTGATTCCAGTTGCCAATTTTTCCATAGGGTTTTTTCTTTTGCTCATTGAGTTGGAATTTTCATATATTCCAGATATACGTCATTAGTTAATTATGTCTTACATATGTCTTTTCCTCATATGTGGTTTGTCTTTTCAATTTGTGAATGATAACTTTCAATGTTCATAGGTTTTCAGTTTTAATGTAGTGAAATTTATACATCTCCTTTATGGTTTATGGTGTTTGTGTCTTGAGCAATTCTTCTTTGCCTTGAGGTCATATAGTTTCTTGAATTTTCTTCTGAAGGTTTTTAAAGATTTGCTTTTGTACTTAGTTTTAAAATCCAGATGGAATATATTTTTGGTATGGAATGAGGAATATAATTTGCTTTTTTCCCATATGAGCACCTAGTTGCCCCAGCACCATTTATTCATTATTTCCTACTTTCCCTAGTGCTTTATACTGTCACTCTGTCATATGCCAAGTGTCATGGTATTTAAGGTTCTGTGGGCCCTCTGTTTTGTTATATCTGTTTCTGCAGCAGTGCCACACTGTCTTCACTATTGCTTTATAAGATCTTAGTATTTGATATAGTGATTACTCCCACCTTGTCCTTCAAACATTTTGGTCTTTTAATTTTCTCTATATATTTTAGAATCAAATTATCATAATTCTTGAAGATCCATGTCTGACTTTAAATAGATTATAATTAAATTTATAGATTAATTAAATTACAAAAATTTATAGATTAATTTGAAGTGAATTGACATTTTCATGTTTTCTTCCTACCCATGAATATGACATATCTCTTTATGTTTTCTTTAATATCTTTCAATAAAATTTTATTATTTTCTTCAGAAACATAATTTATATCTTTTGTTATTATCATTCCTCTATGCATTAATATTTTTCTAATTTTTGTTATCTTTTAAAATTTTTGAATATTTTAAAACTATTCTTGCTGGTATATAAGAACACAATTGATTTTATTAATTACATCTGTGACAAACTTTCTGAACTTTCTTATTGGTTCTAATTCTTTTCTATTTATTAATTTTGTTCTTACTTTTTATTCTTTTCTTAAAAAAACTTTCTTTGGGTGTTACTTTGCTGTTTTCTTCTGTCTTTTTGATAGTTAGGTATGTTTTGAATCTTTATTTTTTAGTAAGTGCATTTTAAGGCTATACATTTACCTCTGAGTACAACTTTAGCTGTATCCTATAAGTTTTATTTATTTATTTCTTATAAATAAAAATATTTTATTGATAAAACCATATATAGAAATGTATTTTGACTTGTAAAACACTGTTGTACTTTTTCATTTGACCTTACATTAATATTATTTATGATAATAATGATTTTAATTTCCATCCAAAGTTGAAAAAGACTTGATTAATTATGGCAATTTATGATACTTCTGAGAGATTTTTTACAGTGTTCTTCCTTGGGTAAAATTGAGGCCGGGCGCTGTGGCTCACGCCTGTAATCCTAGCTCTTGGGAGGCCGAGGCGGGCGGATTGCTCAAGGTCAGGAGTTCAAAACCAGCCTGAGCAAGAGCGAGACCCCGTCTCTACTATAAATAGAAAGAAATTAATTGGCCAACTGATATATATATATAAAAAAAAAAAAATTAGCCGGGCATGGTGGCGCATGCCTGTAGTCCCAGCTACCCGGGAGGCTGAGGCAGAAGGATCACTCCAGCCCAGGAGTTTGAGGTTGCTGTGAGCTAGGCTGACGCCACGGCACTCACTCTAGCCTGGGCAACAAAGCGAGACTCTGTCAAAAAAAAAAAAAAAAAAAAAAAAATTACAAACTTGAGTAATTTTACAATGCACATTAATTGCTAATGAGATAATCCTCTTTCCCTGAGATCTTCCCAGATTCAACGTATTTCATCATTGCTGTTTAGGAAAGCCTACTTAGTTTTATTTCACATTGAAGATATTTTCCTCTAAATCATATAAATAGGAGGATTCTTGTTGGACAGCGTGTGAACTGGGAGAGGGGAGAGTCAGGGACTGCCTCCTGACACAATCACATAAGATCCCAATGGCTAGTGGGAGAATGGTGTAAGTAATGAAAAATTGCATTCTCAGTCTTACTTAGGCAGATGTATCCTATAAATTTTAAGACATTATATTTTTATTGCTCAATACTAAATATTTTGTTAATAGTGATTTTCTGTATCCAAGGCTTTATTTAAAAATACTAAAATTTCTAACATATGTATTTCTTGGACTATCTTGTTCAATTTTTTATTGTCAGTTTTCATTTAATTATAATTTATCAAAAAAATTTGTTCTATAAGATAGCAATACTTGCAAATTTTCTGAAATGTTCTCTGTGCTAGTTTAATTTTTTATGAATGTTTCATGTATTTTCTTTGTTGTTACAAAGAAAAACAGACAAATAGACATGAATCTATATTCATGTCTATTTGATCAAACTTGTTTACTTTGTTGTTTGAGTCTTTAATATCTTTTTATTAAACAGCCTTATTTAGATACAATTGATATAAAAAAATCCTGCACATGTTTAATGTATATAATTTGATGACTTTAGACATATAGCACACAGACATGGCACTGTCACCACAATCAGGATAATATATAAATCACCTCCAAAAGTTTTCTGGTGTTTCTTTGTGTCTGTGTGAGTAAGAGAGTGTGGTAGAAACACACTGAGATTAACATGAGATTTACCTTAATACATTTAAAAATGTATAATACTGTATTGTTATCTATAGGTGCTGTGTTATACAGCAGATTTCTAGAACTTATATATCTTGCATAATCAATATTCATCTTGCATAACTGAAACTTTGTAACTATTGAATAACAACTGCTCATTTCCACCTCCCTTCAGCCCCTGACAACCACCATTCTATTCTCTGCTTCTATGAGTTTGACTATTTTAGGTATCTCACATAAGTAGAATCATATATTATTCGTCCTTCTATGACTGGCTTAGTTCACGTAGCATAATTTCCTCTAGGTTCATTGTGTTGTCATAAATGGTAGGATTTCCTTCTTTGTT